CTGCAGGATTTCTCAAACATGCATGAATGAGTCAGAGCAAGGCTTTGGGCATGTTTTTTATGAGAGTATAACATTATAACATTATATAAAACTCAAAAAAGTTGATTTTACATGATATTGCCCCTTTAAGAATTAAAAGAGAGTGAACTGTTTTTTCATCACTGGCCCACTGCATTTATCATAATTTGTAAGTCTAATATAAAAAGGAATGCTTGTGATTGTTTGAAATACTCAGTATTGGAAACCTTTAACTGAGTTTGAGATCTGTTTCCTGTTCTAATCAGACTTTCAATGTCTGTTGAAACCAGAACATTTTTTGAAATGATCCTGCTACTCTTTATCACCCCCCCCCCACACACACACACACACCATCCCTTTCTTCCTCATTTGCCTGTGGACAGTACTGTAATTGGAGGCAAATATGCGCTCCTAATCACTCTGTTGTTACGTCTTTCGTTCATGCATCATCAGCGTCACTGATATAAATGAATATTGTGTTTTGATTACAACACCATGGGATCGATCACAGAAAATAAGCAGAGATTGTCAAAGAGGGTTTTTTTTTCATACGGTGAAGAAAAACAGATGAACGGAACTGGGTGACCTGATATGATGTTGCACAAATGGACTTTGAACTCTAATACAATAGAGGCTTTTAAAAAATAAAAAAAAATCCTCTTTCTTTTCATCAGATTCAAAGGGATGGCTCAATGCACCGAGGACTTTGAAGTGTGTGGCCCTGACAGTGGGAGGTGTTGGCTCAGGCCCCTGGGCAATAAATACAAGAAATGCTTGTTTTAGTCCTTTTTTTAATGTTCTCTTCTCTCTTTGTCACACTTAGATTGGAAAAGATAGAACTCTAAACTATGACCCGTGTTGCATCAGCTACTTCTCCAAGGGCGAGTATATAGTGATGGGAGGGTCTGACAGACAGGCGTCCCTCTATACTAAAGATGGCGTGCGATTAGGAACCATCGGAGAGCAACATTCCTGGGTGTGGACATGCCGAGTTAAACCAGACTCCAACTTTGTGGTGGGTCCATATGCTTATAAAAAACCTCATTACCAGCTCTTGAATAAGAATGCATGTCATCACGAGAGACGAGGTAAAACACTGTAATTGAAAACGCGTAAAACATCAGACAGGACATTCTGGGTGTTAGTTACACTTTCTTTGTTGTTGTGATAACACAATTTCTTCTTAACCACACAGACACACGAGTTATTTTATTTTGCAGTAACACTTTTGCAGCTTTTCCTTTCACTATATTTAACCGAAAGTGATGAGGTGCACAGGAGAGAATTGGTTTCTGGCAGATTCTCTCAGCTCTGCAGTGTAGATGGTTTAACAACAGGAACATTTTCCCACTCCCTCAGTCTTTTCTTAGAGGTGTTAATGGGATGTACTGCTACATTGTTGTGTCTTATCTAGGTGTTGGGCTGCCATGATGGGACCATCACCTGCTACCAACTAAACTTCAGCACAGTTCATGGCCTCTACAAGGATCGATACGCTTACAGAGACAGCATGACTGATGTCATTGTCCAGCATCTCATCACCGAGCAAAAAGGTGCAGCTTTTGAACAAGAAACAAGCTACCTAGATTGTGATGAAAGCATTTTTTAATGCATAAATGAATTTATTAGGGATATTCTAGAGCATATAGTGAAATACTTATTAATATTTTACGCTTTCTTTCTTTTCACAGTGAGGATAAAGTGCCGTGAACTGGTGAAGAAGATTGCTATCTACAGAAATCGGCTTGCCGTCCAGCTCCCTGAGAAGATCTCGATTTATGACCTAGTCTGCTCCGATGACTCCTCCGACATGCACTACCGCGTCAAAGACAAAATCAGCAAGAAGTTTGAATGCAACCTGCTGGTGGTCTGCTCCCAACATATCATTTTGTGTCAGGTCAGGCGCACGCTGTGTTGGTAAAACGTCATAGATTTTAACTGAATAATTTCTTTAAACGCGCCTCGAAAGTTCGTTTTCACCCACTGATGAAGGCCAATGAACAATAATGTTTTAGTGTCTGTTTGTCTGTACTGTCAGCAAAATATCTCACAAATCACTAATTTATTATTTTAATGAAACCTTCATAAAGCAATCACTGATTGACAGCTACACATAAGCACTGGTTACTTATTTGTGAAGCGGACATGACCCCCTCACATTTAAAATCTATTTGTTTGGCACCACACTTTTACCATAAAATATTAGCTCTCCCAGCTTTGTTTCTATTGCTATGCAATAGAATCTATTTTACTTTATTGATAGGAGAATACTTATATGACTAAAAGTACACATTATTCTTTTTTTTACACGGCCACAAAATTAGCCCAATGCCATGTTAAATTACTGCTTAACAAAACAGTGAAACATTATGAGGAAGCTACTTTTCTTTCATTAACAGTAGACCAGTATAGATTGATATTCTTGGATGATGATTAATTGCAATATTTGATAGGGTGCAATAGAAAAAAACAATGCTTAATCCATCTCTATTTCTCTTGATGTAAAAGAAACATGAAAGTAAGAGTGACTCAGAGACAGAGTCAGCTTGTAGGGACAGTGAAGAAAGTCCTGAAGTGAGTGATGAAGGGTGCTGGGGAGTTGTAAATGAAATCTGAGATGTATACCCAAATCAGTATCTATTTTAAGTGCATTCTAGTCAGTTGTGTGACCTTCATGGAAGACATTACTGATTTAAAGGCATAATCTAGAGCATGCTTAAGTTAAACATAATTTATTTTGGCTAATATAAAACATGATAGGCTTATGTAATTTTAACTTTCATTTCCAGGAAGTGGTAGAAGTTGTGGTGGTACTACGGTAGGAAAGAACCTGTAAACATATTTGATTTTAACAACAGGCAGGTCACCATTGCTTGGCTCAGTGTCATTTTGTGTTAGAAAGGCTGTATGATGCCACACCATTTTTTTCAAAGTTTTTTTTTATTTTTAGCAAAAAACAAACAAAAAAACAAACTAACAAAAAAAAAACACTCCCCTACAAACCCTCCCATCCCTCCCCACCTATACTGGATCTGCTAACAAAACATAAATATAAATACATCTTGTATTCATGTATCTGTAAATAAAAACACAGGTTTGTGTACAAAGAACCAATATTTGACCATTAGACAAAGTTATCGGCTGAAGTTTTTTCTATGTAAGATAAAAATGGCTGCCAGATGTCAAATAATTTGTTTACAGATCCTCTAACAGTATATCTAATCTTCTCTAAATGAATGTAAGACATAACTTCTCTTAACCAATGACCATATACTGGAGGATGTGGATCTTTCCATCGAAGAAGAATGAGTCTTCTAGCCCGTAGAGAGCAGAAAGCTAACACCGTCCTCTGATGTTCACTGAGGGAAGCCTCTGCTGGAGCCACCCCAAAGAGAGAGATGAGTGGTGATGGATGAACAGTTCYTCCAAATAGTCCTGAAAAGGTGTCAAAGATGCCTTGCCAGTATCCATGTAGCTTTGGATAGGACCAGAATATGTGTAAAAGTGTGGCAGGGGATTGTTTACAACGATCACACGTCGGATCCAAGTCCCTTTTGAATTTGCACAATCTGTCCTTAGACCAGTGTAGACGATGCACTACCTTGAATTGAACTATAACATGTTTCACACATATTGAGGACGAATATATATTTTGAATAATTTTTGCCAAACTGTGTCTGATATGGATTCCTCCAAGTCCATCTCCCACTTGCCCTTCAAAGAATCTGAATTGGAGTCAAAAAATGAGCTGAGCAGAGAATAAACTCTACTCATAGAGCGTTTTGTTACATGCCACACCATTTTTTTATGTAGGCATATAATTGAATCAGTAAGTAAAATGACCCCCCCCTAAATTCACTGTTGGTTATCAAATTTGCACCTGTTTATTGGGTAAAGCTATTAATATTCATATCTTTAAACATACAATGGAGTGTCACGATTGCTTGGCACAATGACATGTGTTACCAATAAAACTAAATCAAGAATGAACAAAATAAAAGTAAAATGCACCCGTATAGTCATTATTTGAGACAAACTGTCACTTTAATTTCCTTATCATAGCATGGCAGTGAGTTTAAATGAAGATGATGCATAAATGAACTAGTTAAAGGAGGAATCTGTCTCTAAAATAGTTCCTGGATCAAGTGTTTACTTACTACACGATTATTTTTTTAGATTCAGTGCAATTCAAAATGGTTGTCATAGCAAAGCACTATTAGCAAAAAGAAAAATGTGTTTGTTAGCTAATTTCTCAGATATTGAGCTAAAATTTGGTGTGTTAATGGCTGAGAGACATCTCCAGGACATACTCCATACTCTTAAGTCAGTGGTATTTTCCTCAAAGCCTCATTTTCTTACTTCCAAGCTAAGCAGACCCAAGAAGCAGACCACAGCAAGGTCTGTTTTTAAAACTATTTTAACGCTCTTTGTTTGCCAAATATGTATTTCATGAACCACAGAACAGTTTTCAATGTAACTATTAGAAGGTAATCACTGGATGTTCATCCACAACTGATTAATTTTGGTATCTACCAAATTCAAGATGATCACCACGGCTAATCAATTATCCTGGACAAAAATAGCTAAACCAAATCTGTGGTGGCAGTAGTCATTCACTTACTCGCGCTAAAAGACAACGTGAAATTAAGAGAGATATTACAACATTTCATGAGACTACATGACAATGTTAATTTCAAGGTTTCATCACAACGCTGTTGTTTTTGCAACAAAAAAATGATCTTAGTTTAAAGTTCGGACATAAAAGCTTGTGAGTGACATGCATTATTATTTTCAAAGAATGCTAGGCTTTTATTTTGGATTCTGTTTTGCTGTTTGCCTTTAGTTGTGCCTTGTGGATTAACTTTAGAATGGATTTCTCTGACCGCAAGTGTTTTGTTTGTAAATTGCATTCATGCACACTTGATTGTGCAAGTGGCTGCAGAGGCTGTAGAATGCCATTAACATGATGAAAGCCCGGTGAAGTCATGTTTAGCCACTTACTGTACAACCCAGGAATTGAAATGCTGGTTCCACAGATGTTTTTACACAACCGGCTCCATCTGGACGTGTTTCTGAGTCAATGTAAGTCCATGTGCAGCTTGTACATCGTTCCTCCTCCTCCCCCTTCCTTCCACCTTTTTTAAGCTGGATAAAATGAGCTAGTTTGAACGAAGGGGAAAGAACAACAGTCTGTTGAATCAGTGGGTGTTTTTTGGGGGGGGGGGGGCTTCCTCTCTGCTTTTTGTCTGATAGACTCTGGTAGGGAGAAGGAGCAGCCATAATGCAAAGGTTATTTCCTTTTAAATCAGCCTTTGTGTGACAGAGGTGCTTTAGATGTCTTTATTGGGCTTACTCGTGTTTCATACACCAGACAGATTTTAGAGCCTATATATAGGCTGTTCATGCTTCAAATCATAGGCATTCATTTTCATTAAAATGCCATTTGGAGTGTTTAAAAGAGTTTGTTTAACTTGTATGAGTTTGTTTTGCCAAAACTAATAGCCCATGAGATAATGCAGTAAAAAATCTGAATTGGTCAGTGTTTCTTTTATAGCCTGTGTTTGATTATGGTGTCAAGGTACCGTCTCTGCTCTGTACAGGAGAAGAGGCTCCAGTGCCTGTCCTTCACTGGTGTCAAAGAAAAAGAGTGGGTGATGGAGTCTCTAATTCGTTACATCAAAGTGATTGGGGGTCCACCAGGCAGAGAGGGCCTGCTCGTAGGCTTGAAGAACGGAGCTGTGAGTACTTAAAGAAAAGTCATTCTCACAAACAAATGCAACTTCACTGTCAAGTATTTTAACACTTTTTTCCCCAAGAAGAATAAAGATGACAGTAAGTCACAGCATCTGCCTATGGTATTTTGATTTTGCTCTGCTGGTCTTTTGTCTTTTGTTACGTAGATCCTGAAGATATTTGTTGACAACCCCTTTCCCATAACGTTGCTGAAGTTGTCGACATCCGTGCGCTGCCTGGACATGAGCGCCTCCCGCAATAATCTGGCTGTGGTGGATGAACACAACACTCTCCTGGTCTATGACATTAACAGCAAAGATCTGCTCTTTCAGGTATGTAGGCAGCAAAAGGAGCATGCTTGAGGAGCCTCATTTGGCAGGATTTAAATTGCGTTTCAAAGGTGCAGCAGAGTAGAACCAAACAAAAACATGCATGCTTTAATTGTTTGCACAGAAGCTCAGGAACACATTCTTTAACAGTATGAACTCCGTGGATAGGTCTATGTTTCACAGTTCCCTCTGCATCTTCTCATTCCTGTTTCCCCTCACGTTTTCTGCACAGGAGCCGAACGCTAACAGTGTGGCCTGGAACACCCAGTGTGAGGACATGCTGTGCTTCTCTGGGAATGGATATCTCAACATCAAGGCTAGCAACTTTCCTGTACACCAACAGAAAATGCAAGGCTTTATGGTCGGTTACAACGGCTCCAAGATATTCTGTCTTCATGTCTATTCCATGTCTGCTGTCGAGGTGCCTCAGGTGAGTTGTGTGTTTTTAAATGCAACATTTTTAACACACCCTGCTAAAGGGTCTAGCATTTCTTGAATGTGACGGCAAGTCTTTTGTTTTCTTTGTTGTAGTTCTTCTATTTCTTCCCAATCTAACATTTTGTAATTCTTTTTGACTACGTTTCGTTTGCTGTACCCAGTCAGCACCCATGTACCAGTACCTGGAAAGAAAGACGTTTAAGGAGGCCTACCAGATCGCCTGTTTAGGGGTGACAGACAGCGATTGGAGAGATTTGGCCACAGAGGCTCTGGAGGGTCTTGATTTTGAAACTGCCAAGAAGGTCAGCCAGGCACAAGTTTTTCTGATTAAAACCAGTTTTATTATTTTGCTCTATTTGGTGTGTTTTACTCGTGTAAGCTTTCATCTGTGGATTTATGTTATCTGCAACACATTGAAACCAATATCCCAATAAACCAGCTTACAAGCAGCCAATTAAAACACAGAGCTGTGTTTTTAACCTCTAGTTTACCATACAAGGTTTGGGTTGTGTTGGTTATAAAAACACACTTATAACCGTTTCAAACATGTTTCTAAACATGGCACATTTTCTGCTTTAACTGTGACTAATTATGTTTTTCATTCGCTCTGTTGCAAGAGCTGAGAGCATTCGTAACATCTGTAACACATCAGCTCCGCTGGCCTATTGTTATTACACTGGTGTTTATAATTTCCAGTTTTGTTTTGGCAGAAGGAAAAAAACATCATTTGCTGAAGTTTCAAATACTCCTCCGGCCATGTAATAAGATTTATTTATACATATAAAATACTCCCAAGGATTTCTTTTTCATAGAGCCCAGCTGAATGTTGCTTTCACTTACAGACACATGCATGTGTTTCATGGCAGCAGAAACGTACGGGGACGTAAGAGCTGTGCAGTGCAAGGTTGAGTGTGTCGTCTGGGTGCACTGCAATAAAATTAAAATCATTTGAATGCAGCTTTCTGTGATGCTGCCTTGACATCATCACAGCGGGGGCTCTCTCTCTTCCCAACATGTTGTCAGTTTGAGACAGACCCGCAGGCAGTCGTATCTTCAGCTCCTGAATGGGTCAAAACTCTCCTAACCCTGAGAATATTATACACTCACACCCTCTTATCAGCTGCCCATCTCTTCCTCTTTGGTAAATGTAATTCCATTGCTTTTCTCTGGCGGCCTGACGGATATTTCCTTCAGATCTGTAGTTGCAAAAATTGAACTGCTGTACTTCCTTAATACCTTTTTGGTCACCCAGCATGGACGCAGTCTGACCACGTGTGCAGTTCTCCTCTGTCCTGCACTCTACCCACCTCGGTGGGCCACAAGGATACTGCGTCTTACGTGAATTAGAGTTGTGGAGCCGCTGAATCCAAGGAGGTCATTAAGGTTAAAAGAAAAATCTAATAGAAAAAAAACACTTTAGGACTTAATAGGTTAATGGCTCTTTAAGAAGCTGGTAATGCAAACAAATTACTTCACATCAGATTCTGAGAAGCCGTCCATAAAATCATTTCCTATATTTTCTCCATTTTCAGGCTTTTATTAGAATCAGAGATCTGCGCTACCTGGAGCTGATCAGCAGCATTGAGGTAATACCTACTCATTGGGGGGGCTACGTCAGTATTTTCTTTGATTTGGTTATTCCTGTTCTGACCAGAACTTGTGCTGACACAATCATAGAACCAATCAATTATCTTCACATATACTATTGCTGAGGTATTTTTTTTCTGGACTAAATTATTATAAATGACTAAGGTTGGAACCTACATCTTGAGTGAACCTGTTGAAGTTATAGATGCAGATAAACTTTTGCTCACGCTCACCATGCCTCACTATGTGGATGCCAAGAAGAAGAACCTCTGTTTGAACTTTGCTGATTCTGCTGTAGTGCTCTTTAAAATGAGAAGAAACTGCCTGTGTCAGTAAAATGCTGGGTAGAAGGGGAAAAAAAAGAATTATTCATGGGATTTTAAAAATAACATGTTTAGTTATTACATAAAATGTATGCATGACTAAGTGAATGTTTAACACTGAGTTTCCTGGCATCTTGCGTGTGAATACAGTTTTACAGATCACTGTGTTTTGTCTGTTTGTGAGCCGACATTCAAAACTGTTGTCCTGAGCGTGCGCGTGCGTGCGCGACTACATGTATGTGACTGTTTATCTGCGCACACATGCCAGGATTTGTGTTGACTGATTTGCAGGAGAGGAAGAAGTGTGGTGAGAACGACAATGAGCTGTTCCTGGCAGACGTCTATGCCTTCCAGGGGAAATTCCACCAGGCAGCCAAACTCTACAAACGCACTGGCCACGAAGCCAAAGCCCTGAGCATGTACACCGACCTGCGGATGTTTGAGTACGCCAAGGTGATTGAAACACTGACAACAATGCAGACACTTATGTGCAAAAATACCTTTTTATCAATCCCCGCTAAAAGACTCCTGAAGCTCTACATGTGTTGTGGGCTTGGAACATGTGTTTTCCTTCATTGTGTGCAGTTTTGCCAAGTTGGGGCCCTGTGCTGTGTTCAGACGGCCTCACTTAGTCGTCTGTCTTTCATCTCCTCATACATCACTGGAATCTCAACGTATATCATCTAATAAATACACAGATGTTGCCTTTTCTCCACACATACCCTTGTACAACATGGGTAACTCGTTTATATCCCTGTTCAGCTTGATCCAGATAAGCCATGAGGAGAAATATAAAAAGAAGAAATCAGTTAGAGCTGAAACTAATTCATGCTCTTTTGTGTGTGTGTGTGTGTGTGTGTGTGTGTGTGTGTGTGTGTGTGTGTGTGTGTGTGTGTGTGTGTGTGTGTGTGTGTGTGTGTGTG